CCCCCTTCAGGAAGCCGTCCTGAATCCGTCAGTGTGTGTTATAAGACAGAAATGAATCACGGTTAACCTGATGTACGTGCCAATCGACCACGATCACCAGTTTTCTCTTCCAAATTGCAAACCGTCGTTCCTTCGGGCAGTTCGGCAAGGGGGAGTATATTTCCAACTTGTACTTGAGCTGAAATTAGTATACGAATGAATATCCGTCCTGCTAAACAAAACTAATTTTTCTCATTTTTCAAATAAAAACACCCGGTGGTCAAGTTTGCTGCGAAAATTTCACGCATATCATAAACCGTTAAAATGGCTCGTCTTCAGAATCGGGATTCATTTGTGCTGGACGAATCCTGTTTCCCACAGTTTATTTTGGGAATCCCGCCATCGTTTAAAAATGGCAAATCTCGAGAGATGTAGTAATGATCACTTCATTACAACAAGATTACTCAAAACCGGAAAAATCTTGCCAAGTGCTTTTTTCGAGAAAACCGTTGAGAAGGGTAATCCATTCGGAAGACGGGACGAATGTTATGATCGCCAGTATGCAAAAATGCAGCATCGGTCAATGCAACATGGGAAAAATGCTCCACAGATGAAGAATTTGATTATGGATTAACAGTTCTTCCAGAGATCCCCACTGCATTTTTTTTTTCGTTCGTTCCCACTCAACTCACCCAACCATCCCCTGCCCCATGCTTCCGAGTCCACGGTCACCATCCTCACAAGACAGCCCGCTTCCCCATCCGCCCCCGTACCTCCTCCCTATTCCTTCTCTCCTTGCTTCTCTCTATTTCCTCCTAACTAACTCTAATTTACAAAAAACTTTAATGCAATATCTGCTCTATCCTTACCTCTTATTACTTTTATAAACAAGTATAAATACATCACATAGTTTTTATGTTATATCCGCTTTCTTTTCTTCATGACTCATCACAGTAACTCAATCTCTCATCCCTCCTTAATCTAACTTACCAATCTACAAATTCTTTCCTTCCCTTTTCTCAATCAACAAATTCTTCTAATTCGGTTATATGGCGTTTTTTAAGTCTTCATCATCGGAACGGAAGAACATTCCTTCTCTTCCGAAGAGTGGATCTTTTAGGCTCCATATAAACCTCCTATTTCCTCCACTCTGGGCTTGGTCCTTGGTTTTGGTTCTGCATTTCGCCACGCATACGACTCTAACTATGCGTCCTTCTCACATCGTCAGTCCTTCAACTCGATTCTTCTCGTCAACGTCCTCTCATTCATCCGCTGACCCCAGGGGGTTGGCCGGACTCTTCCTGTCCCACATTTCGATAGTCCCTACCACCTATAGTTAGATCGATTGACCAACATCACTGATTGCTCACTGCTTTCTCAATCTCTCATAAATGCTTCCAGGCAAGCCTCCCGCCACAACAATTACCACATCCACCCAATATTCACTCTTAAGAGCAGCAAAACGTTCACAGAAAAGCTGCTTGATTCACGCCCTTAAGCACACTTTACGCTGTCTGTGTTTACAGCTAAGGGATGAAACACAAACACACCGCCCTACACATTCCTGGTATATGGTTATTCAACTCGTCAAAGGATTTTTAGCATATTTACTCACCAACTAACTTCCCAGCACTATTCGCTATCAAATTCTGTCCTTCCAGCCTTAAAACATATGTAACCCTATAATTACGCCATTCCCCTCCTCCCACTAATTACTAATAATTCGACCCACTTCCTCCGTCTTACTAACTTCTAACAATTCCAACAAATTTCAAATGTTTCTATACTATCTACTTTCCTACTCATTAACTAACTTGCTCTCCTTTTCCCTCCATTAATCTTCCCTATATAAACCCCCTCCTTGATCCAAACCCTCAGTTAGTTAGTTTGGAACGAAATCGACAGTCACCAGCGCCGTCTAATTCGACAGTCCAACGCTGCAAGCGTCTCGCCTCTTCGTCTGCCGTTGTTATTCTGTTGCACAGTTTGTGCGGTGCCCCGGCTTATCGTTTGACCGCATCATACTATTCGGCGTTTCCTCTCGAGTGAAGTGTTTATTAGAAGAATAAACTGCTGGTGTTTCTCCTCTGTCTACTGCTGCTGCAGTCAAGGACCACGTAACGGGCCTAACACATATGAAATTCAGCTGTGTTGGATTTCCTTTTGTTTGCACAGTCCCTTACTTTACAAGGTATGCTTCGGTCTATCTACGGCCGTAAATTTACCACTTCACAACTTTGACCTCCCCGTCGATTCTGTTTGGAACGACCAATTTTAGCTGGGCTTCTGTGCCCTTCTTTTCTATCCCATTTCATATTCCTTAAAGTATTCTCTGAACTGGAACGTCCGGCCATCTGTGTTTGAATCTTGAAAATTTGCTTTAATCAACGAGCAAATAAAAATTACAACAGCTAATGCGCACATACAGGCTCGCTTATCTGGGTATCTGAATTAGCACTCACTGCTGCTTTCCCACAACTGACA